GATCCATGGAAACGATAATCAAGTGTTTCAGAATTCTCATTCTTCTCAAAGTTATCCATAGTTTGTTCTGATCCACCAGTTGAATGCCTTTGCGATAGTCAGTAAACCCTCGTAAACTGCTTTCCCATAGTGTCTGCTTTGAGCCAAGAATCTTCATGGATTAGCAGTGGTATTCGTTGTTCCACTTCCTTTTCTGAATCTGGCTTGAGTATCTTTGCCATTCCCTGTGTATGTACTGCCCTGACCATTGTTGGATGATCTTCAGCAAAGTTTCACCTATGTGTGATAGCTGTGGTGGTGGTCTGTTTTGGAATGGCCACTAATAAGGATTTCTTTCAGTCAGGTTGGCCTTCCAAATTCTTGGTATAGCCAAGTGGGTGTTTCCATTGCTACAGGTTGTTGCAATGTTTCAATTGGTAATCAATCCATCACTTTAGTATCATCAGTTCTTCATTATATGCCACCTCATGAAAGGAAGTAATTATTTTTTATAAAGTAACTATATTCTTTCCATCTTTTGATACTTACTGTGTTCAGTATTTGCCCATAGAATCTTTGAATGCTTCAACATGAGGCTTGAATTTTTTCTTGCCTTTTTTCTTTTTTTCAGTGTAAGACATAGTAAGTGTGTTTTAGTTTTCTGAGTTTCTGTGTATTTCTCTATAATGCTTTATCTCCTCACACTGCTCTTTGAACTTCTTAGCTCCTGGCTTCATCATTTCTTCCATTTGCCTTACCTCTGCTCTTCAGTGAAGAACAATTTTCCTAGTCCCTTTTGACCATCCATGCTGATCTTTTATTTTTTTCTGTTTTTTAAATAACCTTTTGCTTTTTTCATTTATGATCTTGATGTCATCCCACAGCCCAGCAGGTCTTCTGTCATTGTTAGTGTGTGAAATCTGTTCTCAAAATTCAGGTTAGACATACTCAAGGGCCTATCTTGGCTCTCGTAGACTAGTTTTAATTTTCTTCAGCTTCAACTAAACTTACATATGAGCAATTGATGGTCTGTTTCACCATCAGTCCTTGGCATAATCAAATCATAAACTGTAAAGTCAGAGTTTCAACTTGAATCAATATGAAACTTATTTAGAAATAGGGCATTTTAAAAAAAGAAGAAGAAATAGGGCATTGTTGGATACTGTGATACCTAAATAATAGTTTGTCAGTTTGCTTCAGATAAAACGATCAAATGCTGTATGATGCTGGATCCTGATTTATAAATTGATTAAAATTGACACTCCTTTATTAAAATTTGATTTAGTTGTGAAACAGTGAATTCCCTGGGGTCTGTTTTGCCTTTTTTTTTGGTTATAAGTTAGTGTGTGTGTATATATATATATATATTTAAATTATGTTACCTAAATACAATTCAGTCTTAGTTACTACCTGAGTTGCTGGTGACAATTTAAGGTTTAGACACACGTGCCAGTAGACAGATATATGAGAAAGATGAGGTCTTTTGTTCTCATTCAAAATTAGTCTTAGAAACCAGTTGTACTTTGTTCTAAAGGGTCTCCATGAGTCATAATTGACGCGATGGCAGTGAGGTTTAGGTTCCCACTAGATGTACTTTGTGTTGAACTGTAGTGTTTGGAGCAATAGAGACATCTATAATCAGCTAATAACCTTTTCTCATTTACTTTAAAGAGTTGGTCATCAGCCTTTATCTTTAATTATTAATTTATAAAAATTTAACTTATATCCTAAGCAGAAACCATAAGAGCTATCACAGTTGTGATAACTCTGAGTTGATTCTGACTTGAGCAGTGAGTTTGTTTTGATTTGGAATTGCTGATAATGTCTTTGTTTTTATTGCTAGTAGTGAAAGCCAATCAGCATATTCTTTAATCAGATGGAGGGTAGGTGGCTGGAGGTAGATGAAGATTATTGGTTTTGTTTAGTTATTATCGACTCATTATGAAATTGAATGTCCACTTAGTGATGGGTTTTTTTTAGGATTGAATATGGTTTTAATTACAGTATATATTTGTGTATAAGCTGAGTTTTTTTCAGCACATTTTTAATGCCATTTTTGTGGTAAAATTAGGTACCTTGGCTGATATTCTTGTTGGCTTATACTCATGTATATACAATAACTTACTATTTCTGTTTAATGACCTGATCTTTTTTTAATTAAAATATCATTTTATCGGCGGCTCTTACAACTTTTATTACAATCCATACATCAGATTGTATCAGGCATATTTGTGCA